TCCATGCACTGGCTTCAAGTGATTACCGGTGTCAGGCAATGTCGCTTACTCTTACTGTTTCCCTTTCTGTTGGTGGTCGACAGGATTATGAAGAAGTTTACATCTGAGGGGTAGCACAGAATGTCGTGGAAATCAAACTTGATTACTTGAAAATCATCGAAAAACAAATACACATGAAACGTACTTCGAGGCATCGACCTAAACGAAGTGATGATATCCTTCGGCGTAACAACTTTATTCACCTAAATAGAGCCAAGCAATGTCTGTCACTGGAAGGATTACCAGAGAAGTTCATTAAACTTGTATGTGCATTCTACTAAATTATTACTGGCCGAGGGAGAGCATATGGCGAACTATTATTGGAACTGATTACTTCAAGAGCTGTTCGTCAAAGTTTTCCGCTCTCTCCATTCTTGTTCAACTTTGTCAACTTATCAAGATAATATTAAGGCTATTGAAATATCTGGTGGATTCATCCAATTATTCCATTAGGTATTCAACAATATTCTTGGATAAACTCAAGGAGATTCGAATCAACTTGGACGAAATGATTAGATCCTTCGACGTAACAACCTTATTCATCTCAATAGAACCAAGATTAGCTAAAGAAATCTCCGAAATCTCAAAAAATATACGAAGCTTCAGAGTCAGAGTCTCCCAGAACTCATCGATCTATGCTTAACAACTTATTTCCGATTCAACAAAAGAATCTACAAACAAACAAAAGGGGCAGCAATGGAAGCATCAATCTCAGGACTCATCGTGGAAGCTGTGATGCAGAGACTAGAAGCGTCGGTTTCACCACTGATCATGCCAAAAATGTGGGTTCTGTTTGTTGACGACACATTCGTCAGTGTTAAAAGGAACGAGCTGGAGAACATCCACAATCGGATCAACAACCTCTTTGATGACATAAAATTCACAATGGAAAAGGAATCAAACAACAGTCTATCATTTCTGGATGTACCAATCACCAGAATTGACACAGAGAAGCTGGACACCCAAGGAAACCAACCCACATAGTCCTAATTCTCAGCTACAGCAGCAATAATCCAAGAACTCACAAAATCAAATGCATACTAACGTTGTTCAAGAGAGCAGAGACACACTGCGACACACTTGAAGCACAAAAAAACGAAGGAAAATATTTCATGACCGTCTTCCAAAAGAACGGTTATCCACGCAACTATATCAAAAAACATCAACTGAAATCGTCAGCAGAAGCGAAATCAAGTTCAGGAAGCAATAAGTGCATCATCCTACCATACGTAAAACACATATTGGAGCATACAGCACGACTACCCAGACCATTTGGAATAGGTGTAGCACACCAACCAACAGAATCACTCAAATCAATCCTATGTAGATCAAAGGACAAGATGACAAATAAAGGTAAACCAAAAAACATCTACAAAATAAATTTCCCAGATTTTAATAAACACTACATAGGACAATGTGGACGTCCTCTTCAGCTTCGTTTGTGTGAACATCAATTAGCAGTCAAACGCCACGACATTTCTTCGTTTATATCAATACAAACGGACAACTATGGACATATGTTCGATTGGAACAATGATGAAATGCTGGATAGGGGTAGCACAAAGAACACTAGAGAATTCTTAGAAGTATGACACTCAGGTTAATCAGTAATCAACAAACACATCGACATTGACACAATTTATGAACCAACCAGAAAAACCATAGCAAATATAGGATCAAGAAACAGATCCAAGGGGGATGGAATCAAAATAAAAGTGTGAACAACGACAGGTTCAAGGTCAATAGCAATCAGTTAAGATCGAGGTTAACAGAACAAGCTACGGTCAAACGTGGAGAAATTCTAATGCTTCACTTCTATCTGAAGTTTGTGCTGATGATGTTGTTCAGAGGAACAATGAACGCTCCATAACCAAATCATCCATTTGAGCGAACGAAACTGCACCATAGTCTCAACATTATTTATATAGTAGTGAAAAACAACCAAATCGAAATTTCGTATTTATTTGTAATTTTTTGCAGCTACTCATTGTCTTATAACGCGAAAATAAAATAAACGAGCTATCTGTTGACAAGATTTGAATATATTCATACATATGGTTATCTGGTTATGACTAGGCTTGTTACGATATGCTTTGTATCACAAGTTAGTGTCTAGTAAACCTCGATAATAAGTTTGAATTTGTTTTATTGTTTCACCTTATAAGTAAACGATTCAGTGAAATCCACCAATTATCGGTTAACAAATCGAACCCATCTGCCTCGAACTTCCATGTGAGAATATTGGAATTTGAATAACTAAATCTAATCGATTTCTAATACTTCTGCAATTTTTTTTACATAAATCTCTTTGTAATAAATCATAACAGGTTCCCTGGTAGATGCTTAATACACATTCTGAGACTGCATCTCAAAAATTAACAAAAATGAGTTGTAGTGTGCCGATTTCGAGGTGTTCTTAAGTTTCGTAATTAACTCGTTCAGACAATCGTCGCCAAATAGCGCCTGACGGTTTATAAATCAGATGAATTCGAAGTATTGAATACGTTTATTGTGGCACACCACAAAAAGGATAGCAGACCACAAGCAGACCGAGCAGACACACTAGCGAGTGAATGTAAGAATGAATTGATAAGATAAAGATGTTCGTATATATACAAAGGAAGATATCTGAGTCATCGTGATATTTGAGAGATTAGTATTAAAGCGAATGGGATGAATATGTGCGTAGGTGTACACAATGTTCAGTCATACCAATTCATACAAACGACACAATAATAAAGGCCAATGGTACATATAAGTTATTGTTATACAAATGACCTGGTTAAGTAAATTAACCAAAAGGCTTGACCTAATAAAATGTAAGCAAATTCAAATATATGTGAGGTCACTACAGAGTTTTTTAAAAAAGACTGTTCACCCTAAAACACTTTTAACTTGGGAAAATAGATCAGAAAGCTTCTAAAGATATAATAGGTTCCATGTGAACAGGATATCGAATTTACACAAAAGCCAGGCTTCGTAAATCTGTTAGTTCGCATTGTTGAATATTTAGAAACTAAGAAGGACTTTTACCATCTGTTGTATATTTGATCATTTTATTTAATTTTAGTAGTTTATGTATAGAGTATATCTAGTGGGAGAAATGAACTATTTGAGTAAATCACCTACATCCGAGAGAAATAATTTAACTCTTTGGTTTAGATAATACTGAATCACAACAGGGCAAAAACCTTTTTCGTTTACCACAGAGAAACCTGCTGATATGTTAACCAGGTGGTCGAAAAACAGTTCAACTGTCAGAAATATTTAAGTAGTTTATAATAAAAATTCTCAAATTATTCAAAACCGTTTAAAATAGAACTCAATGATCTGTAAGTATGGTTAACGAAAACAATGACTATGCATAAGTGCAAAGTGAACTTGGTAGACAGTATAATAAAAATAGGGATATATACATTTCAGGAAAATTATTGAATCCAACCTCGAAATTTCTCAACATTAGTTTGGATATTTCGTACACAATGGTTACAATTCGTGGAAAAGCTTAGAAGTGAAAACTGAGCTTCTGAATTAATAAACCATCATTTGACATTTGACAAAAATACAGAACAGTTCAAGAATTCTTGTGTTGTAGCAACAAATTTACTACATTGTTTCTTGTTTTTGAAAAGTGATTACTACACCAACTGATCTCTGGACGCTTACGAAAGGTCTTGATATGGTTACGTGGTAATTAAAATTTAACTGACAATAATGATAAAGTATATGAGAGAAATTAAGAGAAAAATAATTTATGTAATCCATTCCCGTGTAAGGTCTTGAACTACATAAATTGGAGCTGACAACAACAGATGAATACTAAGATAACACAAATTACGGCAACAGTTGCAAACTAACGGAAAGGATGTAGTATGCTGATATATACTATGTATTTAATGTCAACCTACATCAACATCTTTGCTTCATCGAAACTCCAAAACTGTATGTGAATGATTACGTCACGCTGCTTGTGTTTGTAGACAAACTTGCATGAAGAGACAATCGTGATATGCGAGTAGGGATAGCGAGATCTGTCTCGAAAACAAATAAATGCTGTTAATTCATTAAGAGAGGATAGCAAACCACTCCTCTCAATTACTAAACATGTGGCTAAAACGAGTCAAAGATCTGATCGCAGTTAAGCCTCTATAGTGTTGTATGAAAGCGGTGAAGGAAGAATACTTTGATTTGCTGACAATTTAGGCATACAAAAAATCGACCGACTTGAGAACACAGAAAATCGGTTTGTGTTGTGCACTTAACCTAACCGAAATAATATTGAATTGAATTTAATATCAAAATTAGTATAGTCAATGATTTCTCTTTTGAATATCCCACTAATTGACACTTAATTAGTTTGTTCTAAATGTATTGCACTAATACATGCCATAGTTGTGATCAACTTCATTTCTCAATTACCTAACGTAGTGAGTTGTATCCCGATGATCCATGATGCAATGAGGCATTGCGAAAATTCTGTGCGAGCCCTTCTCTCATCACAATATCATACTGGAGTATTCAGATATTATGACGAATAAGTCATCAATACGTTGTCAGTCGCTGCTTTTCATTAATTCTAACAGATCACATAGTTTATACTGAGAGACTATAGGAGTTTCTTATACGCAGAATTAGTGTAAATTGCAATTCGTTATTTTCTGACCGGAGGAACTACTGAGAAGCTTCTCCATAAAGGTTAAAAGCTATATGGTTCGAATAATTTTCATACTTTAGTTTCTGACAGAAAAAACTACGGCTTGATAATTCTGGAGCCTAAAGTATGTTTTTTTATTAGCATAAACTGGAGAAATAAATAAGTTTTAGGTAGAGTTGTTGGCGGGAGTTAGAAATTCATTTTATTGACTGAATAACGATAAGTTTGGATGATATGATTTCGCGATTTCATTTCATTAAGATCATTTGATTCCTTCCTAGCTGAAACATCGAATAGTGAAAAATGGTTTATGGATATCAAATACTTTAATCTCAGTTTAAAAAAGTACAAAAGCAGTATCATAAACATATTGAATTATCTGATTGGTTCAACAACTGATTTATTAATGATCATTTCTTTCTTAACCTGACGACGATATTGTGTACGTTCCCAACGTTTGGTTACTGCCTGAAGTTTTGATAATGCATTTAAACGATTCAAGAATTCTACAGGCGCACCTACCATCGGATCCATATAGCCTTTCACATTGGTATCTGAATAAGTTTAGTGAAAAAAAAATGCATATTTTTTAAAAAGTAAGCGATACCGAATTACGTTCATACTGTGAATGTTTATCATGAAATAGAAAAACCATTTGAGTAAAGTGATAGTTACCTATCGAAGCATACATCATAATTTGTTTGATATAACAGATGTATGAAATTGAAACTAAACCTGGCAGACAATGTTAAGTATGATAGATTCAATTTGTCTTTTGTAAAAAACGAGGTACACATTTAGTTGTAACATAATATTCTGTTTAATTTGAGAAATGGATTTTCACAAACAAAAAATTATTTTAAGAATAAAAGAAGTTTAGAAATTACACGACAATTAGAGAAAAATTATGTTTGTACGAGAAATTGAGTGGAATGCCTGCAAGATCATCAATAGTGATCAAATAAACAGTAATAAGACGAGGTTTAATCTTTGAAAAGTTATCCTTATTTTTAAATTCCCATCATTATACAACTTCAGAGGATGGATAAGGTAACAAAGAGCATAAAAAAGCCTAATAATTATTTAAATGCGTAGAAAAACAACCAGTTGGAAAAGGGCAGAACTAGCTCTCTTAGACTGGATTAAAGTAGATAGTCGCTTGTGTGCTGTCCTAGTAAATGGGACAGTTAAGACTAGAAACGATATGCACACACTCAGTTGCCTCTCCGTTGTCGCTACCTACGCTTCCAACGGTTGTAGATCAGACGGAGTAAAAGATGAAGTTTACGGAAAGAATCACAAACTTTCTCAATAACCTAAACACTCTGATGTAGTATTGGTGGTGGCAGACTTTAGTGCTCAAGTAAGAAGTTTTAGCGAAAAGGAATGACACCCGTGTGGATCTTATGGTGTCTCGGCTCACAGAACAGATAATGGCACCTATCCGCAGCATCTATGCTCAGATAACTGCCTATTTCTGGCAAACTCCGACTTTTAGTACAAAGATAAATATTCTTTGACATGGCGAGCCCGAAAATCAACTCAACGACGGACCGAGCTAGACCAAATCGCTATCACCCACCGATGGAGGCTCGATAGACGACTGTCGCTCGTTCTGGAACGCACAAGTCCAATCGACGGCTGTCCACAGATATGGCTCCTACAAAGCAGGCGGTTCGTAAGAGTACGGATGGTAAGGCACCCAAGAAGCAGTTGCGCTCTAGCACCAGATCCTACGAATCTGCTCAGAGGGGAGGTTTTAGTGGGAAATAGATGGAGTAAAGCATGCTGCGTTAGCTGCACGCTGATTGGCTAAATATAATCCAGTCAGCTATAGCCGATCACGTGGGTTAGATTCCAGAAACTTCTCACGTAGAAACTATAAAGATACTAATGTTGTTTCTATTTTTGCCTTCGCCTACATTTCGGCTGCTTACTTCCATGTAACCCTGCTATTTGGAATATGATCTTTTTCTGTTCCACAGTGTTCTGACTTGGGGACTTGTCGAGTGTATTGTTGTCAGAAAATACTAAGCAATAGGAACAGCTGGGTTTTATTGAGAGAGAACTTCATATGTACGTACATCACTTCAAGTTGGCATATCACATCAGCACTGAGAGATGGAACTGCCAGTTCTAGTTCCACAGTAGCAGATGTAGTAAAAGTTTTAGCAGTATTGGGAAAGATTAGGTTTGGAAAATATGATTCAAAAAGTACAATCCAGTGAAATTAATTTAAAAAAAGAAAACAATGTCATGAGGAGTTCCGAAGATTAAAATTTGAGGGAAGGCAAACACTGGGTCAATCTGTGTCACTGTAAACGATTTCGAGCCATGTTATTGAAGGTCTCTAACTATCGGTTACTATTAGTGTCAATTAATTTTAGAAATCATGATGTTTGTAATTTGGACGGACAGAGTTAAATATTTGTATATTTGTTAGTGGTATTTGGTGTTAAAATAATTAAATCTGCAGTTTCATGAACAAACAGTTCAAGTTAGATGATCATTTAAGCTTCCCTTTTTAGGATTTAATGATTTATGAAAAGCTTCAGCCATTCGCCTATCTTCATTGTTGGAAAAAGCTTTTCAAATTATTTCGGTATTATTATTGTTGATTTGATGGTTGTTGACAATAGCATGTAATGCATTTACAGAATCAACCTGAAGATTCTCCAGCACCATAGGATTATGAAAAATTCTGTTTGTGTAGCTTACATATTCTATTGCCCGAGTTGATACATCCTAGTCTGTAGACATCATTGTATCGAGGTGAAGGGGAGTTTTTCTCTCATCTAAACTAAAGCATTTTGAAGTGTTGGTTATCTTATAGTAAGCTGTAATTGTGTTAATTTAAGAAGTCATCGTAGTTATTGTGTTGTACCACCAGAGGAGCGATCTAGAAATACAGCACCACCTCATGATATCACACTCGATATGTTATTAGTCAGTAATTCGAAATTTTACTCATTGGCAAACGATCAAATTGCAGGGTTTTTGATTATATTCTTCTGTTCTACATGTTCTACATCTGATGTAATTATTTTGGTGGCTTACCTGAATAAATTCAGTGATCTGAAGGCTAAGTTGTTATTGCGAAGCTTGAAATATCCTGGAGCCGATCATAATAACAATAATCTGCTTTGTTTCTTACATGATGTTTAAAATAGGTTACTTATTCCCTAATGAAACAGCTTACACTAAGACGTGGAAACTCAACAACTAAATCGTTTAATCAGATATATTACAAATTTATTGTTATTTTTGTTTTCAGTTGTTAGTATTACTGAAAGTAAAATACATATCTCGCCTTTTTTGTTGTATGAATAATGTAGGATAAATAATACAAGCCTCACAATCCAAATAGTACGATCGGTAAAAGTCATGTAGATGTCATCGTTTTTTGAAGTAGAATTTCAGTTTGGATTTCTGAGAAACAAGTTTAAAATTTGCAAACAGGGTTAAATATAGTAGTCGTCTTGTATGCTTAAAATTAGAAACAATTGCTTAATTGAGTCTTATACTCAATTCACCTAAATTATATGAGGTGAATAAATTTGTTGTGATTTGCCAAATAAGCCTAAACTATGTAACAAAAATTTGTGATTGCATTAAATCTGATGGTGTACTCCTAAAGTTTAGATGACGCACATATTTAATAATCTTGGTTATTATTGATTAGATCGTCTATTGCTAGTCATGCAGAAAATGTGAAAACATCACATGACCTAATCCATATCTCGTAAAAATATCTAGCTCATGTGTATATTGTGTGGCAAGAATTTTTTATTTATCAATTGTTAAGCCTGATTATGAGTAAAAAAAAAACATCATTTTTATTTCAATCACCCATATATACCAAGAAAATATTTCAAATACTTGTTATTGTGTGAAGTAGTTTCTGCTTCATCATATTTGTAGAACATTTAAGATGATGAAAGTACATTGAGTATTGTATTATTAGTTTAGTTGTTCAATTTCATGTGAATACATAAACTAAATGTTTATGGGAATTTCTAAAACTTTAGTACTGTCATGCATACTTGTAAACAGAAAAATAACGAATTAATCAGGCTTTATGAACGCATTTTAATCTTATAGTTGAAAAAAATAGTTTCATTTCGTTTTGATGGTCCATGGAAGAAAACTAGGGGCGGCCAAACCAAAACATGGCACAAATCCATGAAGTCACTGACAAAAGGACTGAGTCATGTTGGTAGATGTAGGCTATCACCTGGTTGGGTTCCGCAATACGAAAGTCACCGATGGTTAGAGACCTTAAACGACATGGCTCAGAATCCTTTGCAATGGAGCAGGTGCATCCACTCTTTGTGCTCTCTCAAACTCTGACCTTCTAAAATTCCTCACATTCAGTATCTTTCTCTTTCCATAATTTCCTCACTGAATTATACTTCTCGAATCACATCTTCACTCCTTACTGCTAATATTTCCATTATCGCTATCACGCCTGGATTTGAAGTGATAGTTGCGTCTCTGTGCTGATGTGGTATGGCAACCTGAACTGATGTACTAACGTACGAAGTTCTGCGTTTTATCTATCTATTTATCTGAATGATGGTCCATGAGATTTTTCCAGGTTTTACAGAAATGATACAATAGCTAAATTACTAGAGTCTGTTACCCCTTGAGTAGCACAGGGTATCGATCAGCGATCACCTAAGACTGTTCTGCGCTCTTCTTTCCAGTTCTTCACAAGTAACATTCATCCTTTTCAACTTTGTCTCCGATTCTCGGCACAATGTGTTATTTGATCGTCCTCTTTCCTGGGGCCCTGAGGATTCCTAGTTAAGGACTGCATTATAGTGCCGTTGGGAGCTTAACGTAGTGAGTGTCGTATACAGCTCAAGTACTTTTAGTTATTTCTTCCCCAGTTGGAAACTGGTTAGTTCTCTTCCACGAGAGCTGTTGCTGATGGCGTCTGGTAAATGGATCCGGAGTATCTTGAGTAGACAACCAATTATATATACCTGCATCTCTCGGATGGTAGCATTCGCAGTACGCTTCATACGTAAGAACTGTTCTGATATTTGTATTGAAAATTCTGACAAGGTTGATAGTTATTTCGAGTCCCAGATGTGCTTCAACTGCAGCCAAGCTATTCTTATTCTGACAATCCTTGTCTTCATATATACACTAGACCCATTTTATTTACCTTTGATGCTGTGCAGGTAAATGAAACTTGTCACAGATTCCGGGGATTTTCCAACGATAATTGAAATTTAGCTCTTGAAAATTTAAACAATTGTTCAACACTACTTATGATATCATTGAGTAGCATCTCATATCTTCAAAAATTATTATTATAGTCCCATCAGAGTTCTACTTTCAGGTCACTGTGAACTAATATTCATGATTTGAATGACTGATTTGAAATTACGGTGATGTATGTTCATGAATTTTGATACACCTGCACTTGTCGCTGTGTCTGGGACAGAACATCTAGGTCGTCTGAGAAGTCCGATTCGTCTATCTGCATCCGTGCTCTCCACTACATTCTGTACTTACACTGAGATATGGAGGTTCTCATTATCCAGTCAACCACAAGAAGAAACAGAAGGCGTGAGAGTAGACAGACTTGTTTTACACCAGTTTTCACTTGAAACCTATCTGTCAGTCACTATAGATACACGACTCTGCAGTGTAGTCCGCATGAGAATTCCATACGATGGTGAAAATCTTCTCAGGTAATCCATGGTGTCGAATAAGGTTCAACAAGGCTCTCCTATCTTCTCTGTCAAATGCTTTCTCTCAGTCACGAAAGTTGATGTAGAGTGATGAGATTCTTTTAATTAAATGATCGGTTGCTCAACAATGATCTGTAGTGTGGCGATTCAGTCAGTGCATACTCAGTCCTTGTGGAATGCAGCCTGCTGATCTGGAAGTTGGGTGTCTAGTCAATCTTTCATTCTGTCAAAGACACTCAGTTGAAAACCTCTCCCGGTACTGATATTAGCCTGATACTTCCATAGTTACCAAGCATACCGAGATCTCTGTTTGACGGTATCCTGATCCTGCATCCTTCTGTCCGGTTTATTGGCACTTGTTTTTCTTCACAAATCTTGCTGAAGAGAATGTGGAGCATAGTTGCAGTTACTTTTGTGACTGACTTGAGTGCTCCAGATGGTATGTTTTCTAGCCCTGCTGCTTCAGCACTCTTGGTTTTTCGGATGACCATGTTGGTATCTTTAATTGTTGGTAGGTGGGTTAACATCAATTGGAATGTCTGTGCACACTGGTTCAATGACAGGTTTGGTGTTCATTGAGTGTAATTTTTGAGTCAATGTTTTAGTTTATGTGAGGGCAGATTCGTTGATTTTGAAACCAATGTAGCGAGTTTTATACATGGTAACATATTAGTGACTAATCAATTAGTATATGGATGCCAAGTTTAGAGCTGAACTATGGTTTCATTCACCTATCCCTACTCGTATGGAAAAAAGCAAAATGCATCATTGATTTAAACTTATCTTTATACTTTCACTTACTAGAGTTAATTGATGTTGTGCAGTTCTCTTCCTTTTTAATAAGAGACAGTTGTGCCAAGGTTTTTTCTTTGATATCGGGAGGTCTATTAATAGGATAGGAATTTCCCATTATGGTTAAACTATTTGAATTATTAGAGTGAGTTAGATGCTCACCTCCATTTTTACGGAGGTTATTAGAAAGTCTGGAATTATTTGCACTGTTGTTATTATCATTATTAATATTGGTATTAGCATTGTGATCAGCACAATGAGCATTCAACGTCCAATAACTGTTGGATGTCATTTTAATCTGCGGTGAACATTTTTGCGTTGTCTTCATTGTGAAACTATTATCTTGTTCTAGGAAATCTAAATCGGGAAAGCTTAGTTTATGTAGTTTTATGCTACTCGGAGTTTTGTTTAATTTGCACTGAAGATGTTCATCATCTTGTCCAGTAAATCTTCTAGGTAACCATATAGTTAACTTTTGTTCTGGGAGGCCACTACGCCATAAATTTGACCATGAGTTTTCAACTGAATATCTGTTAGAGTAAATTGATGATGTAGGGAAATCCATGAATTCATGTTTATTATCTGCTGAATTTTCAGAAAAAGGCAAAACAATACGACGCAAATAATCAAGTGGTTTTGAAAAGTTTTGCTGCTTAACATTCGAGATATTAACTGCTGAAATATTGTCTGTTAACGGTGAACTGTAGATATTTTTTTTATGAGATAACTTCAAATATGGTAGATCTGTGTAAAATGAAAAATGAAAAATAAAAATACGCTAAATTCGTTTCTTCTGTTAAACCAGAAATTACTGATGAACCATGATAAATAAACAATCTAATTTGAGCTTTATATTATACTGGTTGATAATTTTCAATATTTAGCTCGATAGATATTCTGAATAACAGATTGGTGTATTGTTTGTAAGAAGATTTACAATAAAGTTGATTTACAATGAAATAACAAATATTTGTCCGTGATATGGTTTAATTACAGGGATGGAGTACACTGTAATCATCACTGCAAACACTGCTGATTCATTTACTGCTATACATTCCAAGATTAATTAAGTTCAAGGCTTACTGAGTAGCATAAGAAAGCGTTTGAATCAGAAGATTAAATGATTGTAGTAGTAAAGAGTTTATCTTTTGGTAAAAATGTAAAAAGCGAATGCACCATAATGATGTTTCCTTTTTTAAAACGATTGAGAAACCTTTAATACTATCCAAACTACAATCATCCATACAGGATAGTAATAATTCCTATCAATTTACGTACAAGAGGTAATTAAGATGCCACAGTTGTTTGACATAGTGGTACATCACTCAGTTCAGCAACAGAAGGTAGATTCCATAACAACTGGAAGTCTGAGACCCAGTTTTTGTTCTCTTTTGGACTAGTCAGAGTGATATCCCTGCAATTTTGTAGAATTTGATACTGTCTATGAGATTCAAACCCATCTCACCTAGTGATTTAAACTTTTGCCATCATGTTATTTTTGGCACAATTGACCCAAAGTATGGTTGATACATTATCTCTGATTGATCACTATTGAATGTCAGCTAACACAATATATGTCTATGATTCACTACAGATTATCATGTGGTTACTTATCAGTTGCTCGCAACCGTAGATGTATGTCATAATATTAAATAGTAAATATCAGTGATTGGAAAATCGAAATGGTAAAACTTTTCTCTATAGTTATCTCCAAATAAACTCTTAAGTAATTAATTCAGTTAGTCAGCTACTACGTAGAACTTTGTACAAACATACATGAGTTCAAGTTGTCATACCACATATGCACAGCGATGCAGTTGTCAACTCAAATCCCACAGTGGTAGACGGAGTAGAAGTATTAGGGGTGATGGAGAAGATCAAAGTCAAGATATTATTCAAGGAGAGTAATCCAGTTAAATTAATTTAAAATAGGAAAAAAATTTCATGAGTAATTCCGAAGATTAGATTTTGGGAGAAAACAAAGAACGAATCCATTGTAAATTAGAACAACACATATAAGCGAACAATATTGTTTTCGATTAGATCGTCATCAGGCTTTACTCTAATATACATGAATATTTATATGAAAATGTTAAACCAATCAAGGCAATTTGAGTGATAATCACAATGAAATGAAAAAGGCAAAAGTACAAGTGGATAGTAGGAAGATAGGTGAACAGATAGTAGTAGGAAAATTTATAAAATATGATAACTAAAGTAGGTCAAGGGTGGATGAATAGAATTCCATCATTTCCCAACGGAGTTCGATCCCGTCTCCTACACATTGCAGAAGCCATAGGAATACGCACATTCAGCCCTAATTTATGCGTTCAGAAAAAATTCGTGACACCCCTATCTCTTCCGTGGCCGGATATGACGTAACTAACGATTGACATTATATATATTTTATTTATTTTAATTTTATTATTTTTATTATTTTTACACATCTGCTTATTACGTAATGTTTTTGATGTTTTTGATGATTATTTGAATTCTATTCATCCACCTTTGACCTACCTGAGTTATCATATTTTATAAATTTTCCTACTACTATCTGTTCACCTATCTTCCTACTATCCACTTGTACTTTTGCCTTTTTCATTTCATTGTGATTATCACTCAAATTGCCTTGATTGGTTTAACATTTTCATATAAATATTCATGTATATTAGAGTAAAGCCTGATGACGATCTAATCGAAAACAATATTGTTCGCTTATATGTGTTGTTCTAATTTACAATGGATTCGTTCTTTGTTTTCTCCCAAAATCTAATCTTCGGAATTACTCATGAAAATTAGAACAACACATATAAGCGAACAATATTGTTTTCGATTAGATCGTCATCAGGCTTTACTCTAATATACATGAATATTTATATGAAAATGTTAAACCAATCAAGGCAATTTGAGTGATAATCACAATGAAATGAAAAAGGCAAAAGTACAAGTGGATAGTAGGAAGATAGGTGAACAGATAGTAGTAGGAAAATTTATAAAATATGATAACTCAGGTAGGTCAAAGGTGGATGAATAGAATTCAAATAATCATCAAAAACATCAAAAACATTACGTAATAAGCAGATGTGTAAAAATAATAAAAATAATAAAATTAAAATAAATAAAATATATATAATGTCAATCGTTAGTTACGTCATATCCGGCCACGGAAGAGATAGGGGTGTCACGAATTTTTTCTGAACGCATAAATTAGGGCTGAATGTGCGTATTCCTATGGCTTCTGCAATGTGTAGGAGACGGGATCGAACTCCGTTGGGAAATGATGGAATTCTATTCATCCACCCTTGACCTACTTTAGTTATCATATTTTATAAATTTTCCTACTACTATCTGTTCACCTATCTTCCTACTATCCACTTGTACTTTTGCCTTTTTCATTTCATTGTGATTATCACTCAAATTGCCTTGATTGGTTTAACATTTTCATATAAATATTCATGTATATTAGAGTAAAGCCTGATGACGATCTAATCGAAAACAATATTGTTCGCTTATATGTGTTGTTCTAATTTTCACAATGGGAATCCATTGTAGACAATTTTGAGTAATATTATTGGAAGTCTCAAACCACCGGTTACGATTGTCTTGCGGACTTCAACCAGATAGTCTACATCTACCAACATAACTCAGTCCACTTGTCAGTGACTTTACGAATTTGTGCCAGGTTCTTTCAGCCTACTCCTATACCATAAAACATTGCGTCGGGGCAGTCAGTGGTTAGGCATACGTATCACATGTCCCAACAATCTCAACCGATGAACATTCACTACTTCATATATTGATCTGCCGTCTTTATCTAGTACTCATTTCCTAACGACAGTATTGTTTACTCGGTTGTCCCACGATACACCAGCAATGCTTCGAAGACGTCGATGATCGAAGACTAGTAACCTAAGAACATCTTCTACTCTTAACGGCCATGTTTCACATCCATATAGGAGAACGGAGCGAACTGTTGCGCAGTACACCCGTCCTTTGGTTAGTAGGCGGAAATCTCGTCTACGTTTTTGCTTGCGGTGGTCAGAAGACTCTGCCTTTTGTCAGCGTCTCCACCGAATAGAACTATAACGTCGGCTTATTCTCACGGTAAACGTTCAACTCCTGAAAAATCAGACGTGGAAAAAGTTATCTCTACAACGTGCCTATGACAAAGTTGAACAAGAATGGAGAGAATGGAAAACTTTGACGAACAGCACTTGAAGTAATCAGTTCCAATGGTAGTTCGCCATACGCTCTCACTCGGCCAGTAATGTTTTAGTAGAGAGCGCCTACAAGGTTAATGTACTTCTATGTTACTCCTTCCAGTGACAGACATTGCCAAAGAACCTCACAACCAACATCGTCAAATGCCGCCTTCAGGTCGAGAAATACTACTAATGTGGGACGTCTGAACGTGTGTCTATATCCTAGCATCTGATGTAGTGTGAACATCTGGTCTATACATCCAGGTCCAGGTCTGAAAACAACCTGGTTTTTTTGAGTGTGCTATTCACCAACACTAGTTAAGCGTCGGTGTATTATTGAAGCTACTTTCTTAGGCACTATTATATTGGTCAAACTGATTGTTCTGTGATTATCACAAGAAGAGTTTTGGCCTTTCTTATAGACTGGGCAATCAGTGATTGAGACCAGTTGGATGGGATCATCCCCACTTCCAGAATCCTAGTTAAGACCTCAATCAGTCTAACTGCCAACTAGTTTACATTTCTAGCAGATACCACTTTTGTTTTCACAGATTTTGGATTACATTTCAAGCTGCCTCAGACAAATACATGCTCGTTCTAGTACGTGATCTGGTTTAAACATGTATCCAGAATAAGCGGCAGTCGTCTATCGAGCCTCTCCATCGATGGCTTATTGCAATGTGATCTACTTGGGTCCAACTTTGAGACGACTTTAGGGATCGCCAGGTCAAGAGGTGTTTTTTCTTGTGCTTAAAGTTAGTGTGTGCTAGAAAAAGGCGGTTATATGAGCACAGCTGTTACAGACGGTCGCCATTGTCTGTTCTCTGAGCCGCCACACCATTAGATCCACCCAGGTGTCTTTCCTTTTCACCTAGTCTACCTACTTGACAATTAAAGTCACCAGTCATTATCATTATATCAGAGCGCCTAACTTTTTGAAGAAGGTTAGAGTGATTTCTGTAAAACTGAACTATTTTCTAATCTTAGCTGCAGTCAGTGGGACCGTTTGGTCGGACAGCACACAATCAACTTTCTAATGGGATCCAGTCTAAGAGAGCTAGTTCTGCCTTGTGACTTAATACTACAATAACAAGACCAAGTAAGCAGCGTCGGGGCTTCGAAATACACGAAGTGTTAATCGAGACGGTTCCTTATTTTTACATGGTGAGGTCGAACGAATAACGCTACAAGGATCCTGTTTGCACGTTCTCGAGATTCTAAAGTCCTAGCTAGAGAATCCTGTAGTTCTTTTTGGCACAATGTTCGAACATTGGATTCCCCATTATCTAATTTAGAGCTTAGTTTCAGGAGATCAGGAATAACGGTTCGTGTATTCAAATAGTCTGTTAGTAGTGGCAGGTGATAAGGGAATGTGAGAAGGTTTGATCATGTAGGTAAGATGGTGTAGGAAGGATTTGATTGTGACCGATTCGGTCTCGTGTGCTGTTACTGGTAAGAGGGCGGATGTCACTTCCCAGCTGCCCACAACCAGCAAGAGTATCTCTTGAGGAACCTGAAAAGGAAGTTGGATTAGTCTTGATTTTAGCGACCCGGGAGCGTGACCGTAGAGCAAAAAGGACAACTGCTTGTGGCCGGTCACGCATGACCTTTTTATGGAAATTTTTTGAGGCGTTAGCTCCGCTCTTCAGAAAGTCCTACCACCGGACATTGAAGTCTGTGGGCTAGGGTGAGGTGAGATATTTTTTAGGGTCAATCTTTTCTGAGCCCTCCCTTTAGTTGTGCGAAGGCAGCATCGCTGCAGATGCTGGTTGTCTGAGGGGACATCTTACTGCTGCCGCTCCCCTCGGCAGTGAGCAGCAAGACTTCACCCCCAAACCTTAAGTTGCTGCTTTTAGTCTTATTGTTCTGCAATCGAATTGCTTGACAAGGTGGGACCTAAAGGAACGGGTGTTGTAGCCAATATAGCTCGGTTGGGTCATCACAATAAGCAATTCCCACCACCGCTTCAAGGTAGCAGCTGCAGTCAGGGGATTTGGGTTGCACTACTACAACTATTGTTTTGGTTTAGATCATATCCATAAAGGTAAATGACTGAATGATGCATAAATACATTCAAGTGATTAGTTTCAAACCTACTATTTTTTTATATTATGTGACCAATTCTGACAGTTAACTCATGAGGTATTTTCACCTCTATACTGTCTATGACTGATTCCAAATGAGATAACTTGTCTAACTGATTTACCATTATTTAATTGGTATTGATTTCCTACTAAAGTGAGATAATGCTTATAATGGTTTAGAGCCATGGCGGGTCAAGGCGTTGGCGACACCATCCCGCAGAAAATTAACTCGCCAAAAAACGCTTACCAGAAAAAATAATTTAAACCATTCTAACTCTGCGTAAAATACGTCGATTCTGTTGGCCAGACATCATGGGCAAAAACCAACTGTGGGAGAGAACAAACCAGATTCCAGCGGAGAAAGAAATCAAAAAGAAGCGGTGGAAGTGGATTGGACGCACATCGAGGAAAGCATCACAATATAAGCTCTCACTGGGAATCCTCACAGCCACAGGAAAAGAGATAGGTCAAGGAACACATTACGCCGAGGAATGGAGACAGACATGAGAAGAGTGAAAAAAATATTTGACAGAACTGGAAAGGGAGACCCAAGACAGGGTAGGTTGGAGAATATTGGTCAGTGGCCTATGCTTCATCGGGATTAACAAGCGTGAGTAAGTAAGTAAGAACCATGACGAGAAACTAGTTGGAAAGAAACATTTCTGTGTTCAACTTGTATTCTTAGGTGTTACAATGGAAACATTTAACAGTAGTGACCATATCAAATTTGAGGCAATGCCGTTGCGCTGTTTCTACCAATGCACTGAAGATGACTTGGATGCCTGTCAAAGCAGTTCTTGCCAAGTGGTTTACTGGTAACATGACTTGTCATCGAATATGAGCTATCGACCTTGCATCATTCTTTTAGTTTATCCTCCAAAAGTTTTGTTAATAGCCAATTATTGCACAATTTCCTTTCGGTAGTTAATTTTCTCAACAACTCATGACAAGGCACCACTTCAGAAATTTCCATTATTCAATACCATTCTATTTTACTATAGACTACTATTTTTTTACGAATAAATTGACTAAAGATACGATTATACAGCTTAAATAAATGACATTGCTGAAAAAAATTTCCTTCACTGACACATTGGATCAGTTTTTCTAACTTTATACTTCAGATGTTAATTAATATTCGCTTACTACGTTGATTCCGGTTATAACTATGCCAACTAATTATGTAGTCACTGAGTATTTTCATTACAACTATGTAATCACTCATTTTATGAAGTTTGTTAATGATCATAATATCGTCTCTATATAATAATGGATAGCTTTGAAGAAATATAAATACGCATCAATTTTCAAATATGTTAAATGCCATTAATTGTATCTTCTTCTCCCTTACAATGATTTTCGGTTCAGTTTCCTATATCCATCTACATTAACTAAATTTTATTAGATTTTTGTCTCCAGTTATGTGAATCTTTGTAACTTGAAGCTGTTTGCAACTGATGAAAGAACTTGACATAAAATGCATTAGCTTAACTTTGTGCGCTCGCCTGATTAAATTAAGAATCCTTTGTTTACTTTGAAATAACTATTAGTAAAATTTAAATCATTATAGAAAGATTTTTGGATAAACTTACCTGATTTATGCATCTTTTTAGCTGAAGTAGAATTTTCCGGTGTAATACACTTTATCCTTCTGGTATTATGACTCCCACTGATTTGTTTGCTAGATTTTGAGGTGGATTGCAAATTTATTTTTCTAACATCTAATTTATTTATGTGATCTTTTCTCGATTCAAGCAATGAGTATTTAGAATTGACCGAATCACAGTGTTTTAATTTCTTCATGAAGACATGCTATTTTGGATTTTTATTTATGTATTTAATTTTAGATTCTAATGTAGTTGAATGTGAGTCGGAATCAGGGCAGCTATCAGAACTGCACAAAATAACAGTCAGAATAACAATTGTTTTATCATGGGATGAAAAAAATTTACTGTTCTATATTTGAGCTTCAGTGGTGGTAGATGTGTTTCTGTAAAGTATCGTCAAATTTTATTATTTTCAACTAAATCAAAAAAATGATTAGATGAAAAAAAATCAAAATCAGAAATATATACAGGATTGTGATAACATATGAAAGTGAGAAAAACTGGGAGTCCTGTCATTCAGTTAATAGATGGGATAGATCGACTAATAAATCAAGGGTCTGACCAAAAAAGAATTTCCCACATCGTTCAAACCATTAACCAACCAACCGCTGATCAATATATTCAAGTTACGCAAGTGAGAAACTTTTAATATGCATTGTCCGTATCACTAGTAAAAACAACCAGTTTTCGTTTGATATTGCTTTATCTCTTCTAACCGAATTTCGAGACTAGCTAAATCACATATTTTTCAAGTAGCATCTACTCCGTGAACAAATAGAGACGATAACATAATTCTGTCATTATTTAACTAGTATACAGTGACCTAGCGATCTGAAAGTGTAGATTCGAATAGATGTTATTGATGTGAACACAATTTCAGTCTGATTATTGATTGACGAAGGAGTATAAAGCCATATTCTTTGATCTTTAGTGTAGTTAACCAGGTAATTTCAAAGCGAATTAGAATATAAAAGAAATCTTTCTAGTAAGAGTTTATTTGCAGTATTAACTATTTTCGTCTACAAATTTATGCTTTTTGGGATAATAATTTCACACTTGAAAATTTAAACAATTGTTCAACACTACTTATGATATCATTGAGTAGCATCTCATAACTTCAAAAATAGTTTCGATTATTATAGTCCCATCAGAGTTCTACTTTCAGGTCACTGTGAACTAATATTCATGATTTGAATGACTGATTTGAAATTACGGTGATGTATGTTCATGAATTTTGATACACCTGCACTTGTCGCTGTGTCTGGGACAGAACATCTAGGTCGTCTGAGAAGTCCGATTCGTCTATCTGCATCCGTGCTCTCCACTACATTCTGTACTTACACTGAGATATGGAGGTTCTCACTATCCAGTCAACCACAAGAAGAAACAGAAGGCGTGAGAGTAGACAGACTTGTTTTACACCAGTTTTCACTTGAAACCTATCTTTCAGTCACTATAGATACACGACTCTGCAGTGTAGTCCGCATGAGAATTCCATACGATGGTGAAAATCTTCTCAGGTAATCCATGGTGTCGAATAAGGTTCAACAAGGCTCTCCTATCTTCTCTGTCAAATGCTTTCTCTCAGTTACGAAAGTCGATGTAGAGTGATGAGATTCTTTTAATTAAATGATCGGTTGCTCAACAATGATCTGTAGTGTGGCGATTCAGTCAGTGCATACTCAGTCCTTGTGGAATGCAGCCTGCTGATCTGGAAGTTGGGTGTCTAGTCAATCTTTCATTCTGTCAAAGACACTCAGTTGAAAACCTCTCCCGGTACTGATATTAGCCTGATACTTCCATAGTTACCAAGCATACCGAGATCTCTGTTTGACGGTATCCTGATCCTGCATCCTTCTGTCCGGTTTATTGGCACTTGTTTTTCTTCACAAATCTTGCTGAAGAGAATGTGGAGCATAGTTGCAGTTACTTTTGTGACTGACTTGAGTGCTCCAGATGGTATGTTTTCTAGCTCTTCTGCTTCAGCACTCTTGGTTTTTCGGATGATCATGTTGGTATCTTTAATTGTTGGTGGGTGGGTTAACATCAATTGGAATGTCTGTGCACATTGGTTCAATGACAGGTTTGGTGTTCATTGTGGTTGATCTGTTCAAGGGTTTTGAAAAGTTTACTCCTTGTCCTGTTTGTTTTAAAACTTGGTGATTATTTTGTCTTTTTTGTCTTTAAACAGGTGCTGTTGTTTGTTGTTTTCCTTTTCCACTTTCACAGTTTTATGTAGTTGCTTCCTATTTCCTTTTTGCAGCGTTTTTCAGTCATTGACTTATCTCCCTAATTTTTTTATTATCAGCTCTAATGCTCTTCTTCACTCGATTGTTTTCTCTTGTTCATTTGATTCGTGACTTTTCTTTCTCTTGATGTGTTCTGTTGTTGTTGATTGTTGTCTTTCTGTTTTTCGTTTTTTGATATTCTCGAGTGCATCATTAAAGATCCATTCTTTATGACGGTGCTTCTTGTAGTTCTAAGCCTTATGACCTGTTGAAGTTATTGCTTCCTGTTCTCCATGATACCTTCTTCTTCACTGAGTATATCTTTCAAAACCTGGAACTGGAGGCTGAGAGCTATATTGATTTCGTTGAGTTCACCAACATTTAGAAAAAGTCAGTATTACACTTTTGTGATGTTTGTTCTAGTTGTCGAGCACGTTTTTAGTTGCAGTTTCATCCTGACTATTATCAAGTGCAAAATTTTACAGATCAACCCTTTCAACTCATTATTCCATCAAAATTTATAAAAGGGACTAATTGCCTCAAATAAAATGACAGATTGTCAAGTTTGTTGTAAACTCACAGATTTCCAAACTGTAGGGGTTTGAGAAAAGATAGGTAATGTAATTCATTTCTGTTTATATTTCTTGCTTTTACACTATAAAGTTCGGATTGGTTCAATTATTCTGCGTAGAAGTATTAATATTGACCTTTCTAAACATGCTCCTAAATAACGTTTCCCAGAAGTACGCTTTATTTGGAGTATTTAGTCACTGAATGAAAGAAATAAACTCAAAGCAAGTAAGGTGTTTTGAGTTGTGAACTTATATTTGACCAATCCTCTTATCTTAAGAGATGTACTGAAGTTTTTCTTCAATAAATTGGTATTCCACGATCTGGAATGTCGAGTTTCAAGCATTATAATTTTGATGTCATTCAGTTTGAAGTCGGCTATCTACAGTCAGTGAATACCAGTCTTGTATTTTCTAGTCACATTGTTGACAATAACCATGATATTAATTTTTTAACCGGTACAGGAATGATCAAGCAATGACTCTGGGTCATCACTCATCGATATTTTGAGAAAGAAGTACTAAACACAGATCATTATTATGAGGTTAAACCGGCTTTCCTCCTTCTTGACACAAAACCATGGGTCTTCCCCCAATGAAATTTATAAAACTTTTTGTTTTTGTAATTAAATTGGACGACGAAAAATAACCTTCGTAATAGAATCTATAGATTAAATAAATTAACTTATTCAGCTAAAACTGACTATGTTTTAACGTGCTCACTGACATAGTCACCAACAGTCTTTGAATGTAGTTAACTTCTTTTTCTCAAAAAAGCGAAATGAATATTATGGGTTAACTAGAAGTTATCCCTAAGCAAATTTAAACAATATGAAATTAGGATTTCCACGTACAGGTTTCTTTACGTCAGTTGTAATAAATTGCACTACATAAAACAATGAAAAAGGACATCTGCGGAATAAATTCTTTCTTAAAAGAGGGTGATAAATAATTGAACTGAGTTCATTGATTCCTCAGTCACTGTGCTTTTTAAAAAGGCCAAGTCTACTGCAAGTCTTATAGTCGTACAGCGAATTGTCTTCAAACAACACAAACCTCTACAAAACGGTGATTCAACTTAAAATCGTTAAATTTCAGATGATTACTTTTTGGAAATGGTTTTTCGGAAAAGCCCCTGAATAGGTGATCAACTAAGTCAGTAGTAAGATAATTAATTACTGATTAATGAGAATGAAAATGAACTGTACAAAATCGCATGTTAACTGGATTTGACTATTTATATAATTGAACTCTGACCTGATGGCTTAATGATATCCCACTTGAGTTAAAATGGAGAGTATTGAGAGGAGAAAATTGTTTTGATAAAGTCATTTACTTAAGCTGTACATTTGTATTTGCAGCTGTTTGGTGAATGTGAGTTTAAGGAAAGATAAAAGAGATCACATAACTAAAATTATCAGAAATTTCAGGCATCAAAAGAAGATTGTGTAATGATCAAAGGGCTCGAAAAAACTATAAGTAGGAATGTACTTCTTAAGTAAGTGATTTCGTCGAAAAATAATTTCCTTGATTAAATTCTCTCTATTTTTATTTCAGTAAGATATCATTACGATAACAAGTCGGAACTCAGTGAAGTACACTTAAATTCCGTTAATATACGATATTATTGAGCAACAGGATAGTTTACTTTATTTATCGTAATTAAAGTGAGACTCTGTAGCTGTTTTTCTAGTCTATCTTGGGGTCGCGTCTAGATAAAGCATTTACAAACATAAAAATAAGCCCCCGAGTTCCTACATAAAGCTATTTTACGATAGATTCTTTGACCTATTTTACTCACTTGTTACGTTTAGCAGCATGATCAGCTACTGTTTGTAGTAACTTGATAATTTTCAATATTTCTGGCAAATTATCCTTCACCCTCAACTGGGGGGCTCTACTGATTTTCTCTATGTGTTTCTGCAAACATGTCAACTGGTAAACACAATACGGTCTAGCCCCAATCAATCACAAAGTATTAAGCAGTTTGGTCTCAGAGTAGTCTTGGCAAACTACTTTACAACAGTAGTATCTTATCATTCTGACTTACCATAGAATTCTTATAGTTTATTAGGGTAACAGAGTTCTGGTTAATAAATCGAGGTAGTGGATACTTTTATTAGAGTTTCGGTTATTTAGATAGAATACAGAGGACGTGTTATGAGTTAGCCTTACGACCACATAAGTAATTGATAGAATTAAACCAGGTATGAGAGTGAGATAGACTGATATTGGTTATAGATATCTAATTGCTTAGCATTAAATCCTTCATTTATGACAGTCTATTTGATGAAATCGTTTCCCTCGTATTATACATACAAGTAAGGTATAATTGGTCAGTTTTATTCGAAAAAGGCTTATAAGATAGCACAATATAAACAATTAGACGGTGATATATACAATACAAAAAGGAAAGCAAAACTGGAGAGCTAAAATCTTTAGTTTATTGCTTACTTCTTATTCATTATATGATGGCTACTTTGTCCATAAAAATGAGTAAAAAAAATGTATTATTGATAGAAAACAAGCCTTTTTAGTGAAATTCACTACTGAGATCAATGAAATGTCCAGACCATAAAGTCATAAGAAAGGCCTACTATTTGATTAATATGAATTTAGCGCGTCACTAGTAAGCAGATTATTTGTAAGAAAAGAGTTCATTTCAAGTGCATTCAACTTGTAGAGCTTAAGATATTATCGGTTGCTGAAAGTTGAATAATTATTGAAGTGAGATCGCTATTAAATATCAGTACATTAAATAGGGGTATAATGGCGTGCTTTTAAGCATGGTCACTGAAGTAATGTTTGCAAGTTGTCCAATATCCAATATCTTTTTCACGGGCTAGTGTAAACCAGTTTGATGCTCACATTGGGATGGTTTGGCGTGTTTAATATGGTGTACGCTATAATCAAGTCACCTCTGATTATCCTGTAGCTCAGTGGAAATAATCCCAAGAGCTGGAGTCTATCGTTGAAGGGTTTATTTTTCAACCCTATCACCCATTTTAGGTGCTCGTCTCTGCACTCGATCCAAGAGATATATGTCTCTTTTAATCAGAGGGGGTGCGATGACGTTGTGAACCTCAAAGTGTGGGCGCTCATACGTCTTAAACAGGGTTAAAAGTAATTTCAGGGTGATAGCACCAAGCTGTCTTCGCATAAAGTGAAGAGTCGCATTCGCCTTGGCTGCATCTACTACATAGTTTGGACTGGTGTGGAGGCTTTCTGTGGTTATTAAACCAAGATCGCGCTCTAAAGAGACATTAGGGAGCGGACTTCCATTGAGAGTATGGGTCGTTTGCATTATATGAGGCAGGAAATGTATGACGTGGCACTTCGGTTGGTTGAGTTTTAAACCGTTTTTCACTGCCCATTTCTCAATAGATGTAATGTCATTTTGAAGCTCAGTCGAATCTTCCTCGCTTCTAATGGACCTCCAGATCTTCGCATCGTCTGCGTAGATCAATGCCGGTGAGCTAACTGAGCCTAGCAGGTCGTTAATAAATATCAGGAAGTGGAGTGGGCCTAGGATGTTCCCCTGTGAAACTCCCGATGTGGATACTCGCCAACACGCATGCACTCTGTTTACCTTGGTGTGAAACTTTCTATTCTCAAGGTAGTTTCTGAGCCAAGATAGGATTGAGTCAGTGAAGCCAATTTCCACAACCTTTTACCCAAGCCCGGGTAAAGGAGAAGCGTTGGGGTTGGCGACTACATTACGTCAAAAACTAACTTCTCGAAAAAACGCTAATACCCACTACACGTTTACTCACAGTAAATAACATAAGAAAACTGGTTGGAAACTAAATGGTTTCCACACTCTATTTTTTACTTATTCGGCGATTATCTTATTTTATAGTGTCACTGGAACCAATGAATTTTAATATTAGGAAGATAGATAAAGGAGTCATGGAAAATCTTCTCTATGACGAATAATTTAGAGAACGTTTGATAAAAGTATGAAGCAAGAATCTTAAAAACTTTGGTCCGAATATTTGACGTAGATGTTACATAATTTATGTACTTCCCATAGCAGATCGAGGTGTAGATAATGTATAGTTAATTTTAGTAACTTTGTATCTGTCCGTGAGAAAAGATATCATCCACTGCAGTAGGGAATCTGTAATCTTGATGGACTGAAATCTGATGATTAAAAGATTGTAGGGCCCATTACTAAAAGCCTTCATGATATGAAAATTCAGGACGATCACTTGTTGCTTTGTATCGCGTATGCCGTTAAAGAAATCAGCCAGACGTAAGAGGCATAGCCTGGTTCTGCTGAAACTTCATTATAAGGGGTTAAAAAGGCCTTCCTTGAGTAATTGATCACATAATTTCTCTTTTATCACTCCCGCCATTACTCGTGAGATAAATGCGGTGATATTAGATGTTCTGAAGTTTTGGATCAAGTTTTTCGGTTTTGATTAGTATTTAGGAATAGCGAAGGCTACTTTTCAGGCTTTGTTGTATGTACCAGCCTCTAGGGATAATGTATACCTTTTGAGCATCCATGCAAGTATATTTGGTTCTGCCGTTTTGAAAAGTATAGCTGGTATGTCATTTGCAGCTGTACGTGCATTGGGTTTGACAGTTTCAGTTGCTGCGTGAATAATGCTAGGGAAAAAGTTATTGGCATTGTTGTTATTCTTGCTGATGCATTTTCCTAGATGCAATAGAGCGCAGAGGACTATTTTATGTCCAATGCCGAGAAACTTTTCGCAGACTACCACAGATGTTTTTATGATATCATAACATAACATGAATTCGGGAATGTTGCGATATGCAATGACAAGCTTCAGTTTCCGGGCGGGAATAGCTACTTACTACGCTTTATTGGAAGTACAATGTATCGAATCAACTTATGACACCAAAAATATTGGAAAGGTGTCAAATAATAGGAAGTTATTTTGGAAGTTTTCCAATGTAAAAACATATAGTTTCCGGCAAGGGCATACCTTTATGTTGGCTCTTTGTAGACTAGAACTCGATGAACCTATTGAAATGGGATGATTTTCAGTCGACTAAAATCACTAATATTGATCGATTACGTAACAATTACCGGGTTAAATTCCTCCGTAGAACCGAAATCAGAAGGATAGTTGGAGGTAGTAATTAGTGTAAATTTGTTGGCGATCTTGTGGTACCGAAATAATGCCGATATCGTGCCAAAGTATACAGGCGAGACTACCGAGGTTAAGGTCACGACCGGCAGAATGTGAGGATTTTTTGTTCAGTCAAACAAAAAGGTGCAGTAAAACAATCACTGGTACAATTCTTCTTTTGGGGAGGACGATAACACGAGTAACGTGCCATATTTGTTGCTCGAGTCGGCGTACCACGTCAGAGTGTTTTTTTATCCAGAATCTGAAGATGTCTTTCGTAGGGGTTCGGACCATAAAACACACACGTACGGCGGAACCACGTTGAGCCAAGAAACCAGAAGCGGACATAGTAACCGAGTCCGGGACCATATGTACGCTAGACATGTTCGGAACCAAAACATCGACTGAGTGCACTGAAAAGAGCGTGAGTGATCAGACCAGTTTTCTCCAAGAATAAATAAAGCCAACGGTATCAGGAGGGACATGGTCGGGGTCGTAAACACAAATCAAAGAAAACAAAAATGTTGTAGTAAGCATGTATTAAGGAGTATAATCCTAAACCAAATACGTTGCTTATTGAGGCTAGTCGTGAGTGCGTACAGGTAGATGTACTCGGCAACCAGAACTTACGACGGTAATCCCGCTCGTACCTCGTGTTTGATGGCTAGAAATTGTAATCTCATCCGAAGTCAAGAGCGGCGTGGTATGCTGATCTGGAGGTGAGACTAAAGTCTCATCGACAGACAGTGCAGATGACACATGTTGCTCAGTGGAACGTGAGAATGAGGTCTCTGATGTGTCTAACGTGGAGACAGAAGTAGATATAGAGATCCCGTCAGTAGGTATGATGAGTCTAGCACTGAATCTCGACTTATCAGTTAGTACACCCTCATCGACTTGTGCTGGCTTGAGAAACTGATAGCTGACAACCTCGATGCGCCCATGTCGATCAGCCTTGTGGGTCTATCCGTGACGGGAAATTAGGTAAAATAGGTCCTTCGTAAGGCTGTTGCGGTGGTTTACGTATCAAGTCTACTCGTGTCAAAACATGTGAACAGTTAGATAACTCTCAAGGGAGAGCGACCTGGCGATAATGTATTCGAATAGACACCGCAGGCAGTGTTTTTTTGTAGGTAAATTGTCGTTGGACGTTATTTGATGTACCAAAATTCGCCGCCCCATGGTGTGAAAGACTACCCAGGCAGAACCAATGTCGCACCATGTACAAGTTCAGCGGCGGCACATTGATGATGTGGATTACCACATAATTAATTACCGATGGAATCAACTTGGTTTAGTTAACACAACACAGAATGAATAGTCATGCACTAAAAGCACTAGCGATTCAGTACACATCTGTTTGACCTTTAAAGTTCTCGGAATTGATATTCAATGAAGTATTGGTTAGTTACAACCTGCATGAATCAAATAGAAATGCATATCGCTGTAGGAGATCGATGCCGAGTATGGTAATGGGAACAGTGATGAACGACCACAGATACGATGTTCGGTTCTTCAGGTTGACCGTAAGCTGTCGTGTACTATGGGTAGGAAAGACTGAGCAGTTCGCAGCGCGTAGTTGAATTGTTGTAGTTAGAGACTTATTGTTAACAATCAGTAAGACAGAAACTTGTGCATCTATCTCCACCAGGTACCTAGCTTTATTGAGAAAATCATGCACGTAAAATAAACGAGCAATCTGGGGTGACAGGGAAGAGACAGCTCTAAATGAAGTGACCTGCATCTCGGAGTATATTATATTATCAGTATTCTCATAGCTATCCAAAATTTCGAAACATTGTTGCAAAGTATAATATATATTGAAAGATATTAATAATAGTAGCGCAACCAGAGAAAATTGGCAGTAGATTAATTATAGACTTAGCGTAATTAGCTTTCTTTGTGAAAAACGTCAGCTCACCAGATGTTGTGGCTTGTTCGAAACATCGTGGATTACCACTTATAGTATCACAAGTCGAGGTTGACTATGTACACCACTACAGACCAGTTACGTTTCCGTCACTAAGCGTAATATCTCCATGAAGCAAGGAAAGAGAATAATATCAAATCCAGAAAAAGGAACATATTTTCTGGTGATTTCGTGGTATCGAAAGAATATCAAAATCGTGCAAGAGAAAAAGGGTGAAGTTACAATGAGCAGTATAACTAAAATTGCAGCAATACAAATGGAAAGTTTGCGCGTATATAGTGTCATAAACAAAAAGTACAGTAAAACAATCACTGGTACAATTGGTTATAATAATGAAAGTTTCCATTGAACCAGTTGCTTTCTACTGATAAAGGTTAAGTCGCCACAATACAAACATGCACACTTCTACATCACTATCATAACCATCCCATTCATAAATTAGGCAAAAAATAAAAAGAAAACTTATATTTGTTATTCTTTTTAACAAAAACATGAATATAAACCTCCTGTTGCGTGTGTGAATGCTGGGTATTTAATCTATTTTTGTAAGGAGTGTACACCTTTTTTAGTTCACTTTGTGCATGAAAATACCAGGAGTCTTCTGTCAAGGTAAATGAACAGATGGTCGAGTAATACAATCAACCCGTCTAGTTCTGGAGTATTACCGGATGAAAATCAATGCATGCTTATTATGGTATTCAGGAAACGAAGTTCTATCATCAACTGGAAACTAGATTTTTTAAGGACTTTATACTGCCATATACCGAAAAAAGTAAGGCCCCATTTTTTAAGAGTTTCGAAATTACTAGATAAATTTCCAAATTAATTTAGGATCTACTTCAACTCTTAACAGTGAATAGTGTCGAAATAAGGGAGTAGCGCAAAACTTTGGGCAATGTCACCGAAGCTTAGTCGATTGAAAAGAACTAAATATTTTTGCGGTTACTGGATTCATATTGCATTGTTTCCATTGATAATAAAAACTTCTTAAAACCATAAGCTTCCGTTTTATTACAAGCGTAGAGAGCACATAAGCAAGCTACGGTTCTTATTGGGTTTACCTGAGGCTTCATTTTTATGAGAAACTCAGTTTTAGTTTTAATCTGAAAAGTTTACGAGGCTGGGAGACCTGTATAAGTCCTATATTGATCGTTCATTTGATATAGCTTTCTCTTGAGTGCGACGACAGGTGACGCTCAAGTTACATTTTGGAGTAATGATTTTCAATCAATGAGGATTGGACAGGAAAGTAAGTAGTTAGCTGTCAGGTATTATTTTCTGTGCTTGTGAAACTTTTAAGTGAACTTGTAACTTCTCTGTTTTGGAAAGAAAAGTTAAGGAATGTTAGATGCAAACTTATAATCCAGTAATTTGAAATCTGTGATCTTGTTAATGCTCTTCGATGACCTCTGGTTTGATGGATCCAGAGTATTTCGAAAAGACCGTTATTTATGAGAACCTATACCGTTTTACTGATTGCGGTGGTAGTTATCCAGGTTTCAGTTGCATACGATAGAACGATCTAATGTTAGTGTTAAGAGCCCTGAAGTTTCGTGAAGGTCCACAGTTGTTTTGAGTCCCAAACACGCTTCAACTGAAGTCAAGCTATTCTTATTTTGACAATCCGTATCTTCACATCTGCACACGAGACCCTACTTGTTTATCAATGATTCTGTTCAGGTTCATGGAAGTTGATACACCTGCACTTGTCGCTGTGTCTGGGACAGAACATCTAGGTCGTCTGAGAAGTCCGATTCGTCTATCTGCATCCGTGCTCTCCACTACATTCTGTACTTACACTGAGATATGGAGGTTCTCACTATCCAGTCAACCACAAGAAGAAACAGAAGGCGTGAGAGTAGACAGACTTGTTTTACACCAGTTTTCACTTGAAACCTATCTGTCAGTCACTAGATACACGACTCTGCAGTGTAGTCCGCATGAGAATTCCATACGATGGTGAAAATCTTCTCAGGTAATCCATGGTGTCGAATAAGGTTCAACAAGGCTCTCCTATCTTCTCTGTCAAATGCTTTCTCTCAGTTACGAAAGTTGATGTAGAGTGATGAGATTCTTTTAATTAAATGATCGGTTGCTCAACAATGATCTGTAGTGTGGCGATTCAGTCAGTGCATACTCAGTCCTTGTGGAATGCAGCCTGCTGATCTGGAAGTTGGGTGTCTAGTCAATCTTTCATTCTGTCAAAGACACTCGGTTGAAAACTTCTCCCGGTACTGATATTAGCCTGATACTTCCATAGTTACCACGCACACCAAGATCTCTCTTCGACTGCATTTTTATCAGTTTCAAATTTGTCGGGAGTCTTATTTCTTTCAGTTCTTTTTATTCGGTATGTAATACTTGAATGACCTCGTTTTATTTGGAAGTTACTCCTTGTTCGTAGAGTGATGTCGTCTATAAACACATCATTTATCACGCAGTACTTACGGTCTTCCACTGTCGTCACTTCTTCACCTATTCCACACCGCTCTAATTTACATCGGTACTGTAAATTGTCCTTCCGGATTTTCGTTTGTAATTTTTCTATCCTAGGTTGTGGGATGAACTTCAATCTCTCTTAAAATTGGGGCTTATCATCACTTCGATGATTGGTGAGTTTCGTAGCATTTAATAATATTGATCACATTTCGTCTGTCTATCGCCTTTTTTGAAGCATTTTCAAGATTCCTAAGACCACATGTTCCTTCGTCTTACAAGTGCATTACGAAGTTCTTTAGATATCAGTAATGCAGCTTCGTGCTTGTGAAACCTTTTTACTTCATGATCATACTATAACAGCTTTAATGAAGTTGACCTTTTTATTCGAGATTTAATACAGTTTTACAACTTTTCCGAAACCAGTAACGCCCAGTGTATCTATATTTACTCCCTCCTAATCTTCTGACCCTAGCTGCCACCTTAAAGTGGTTGGCAGTGTGTCTGCCTATCTTTATGATCCATGCGAGGTATATCGGCTACAACACGTGTTCCTTTAAGTCCTACCCTGTAAAGCAGTTCGATAGCAGAACAATAAAAATAAAGGGTTTGAGGGCAATGTCTTACTCCTCGATGTAGACGGTAGTAACAGCAGTAAGATGTATTTCGTCTGTACCGTAAGTGCTTATCGTTTACCAACACTTCAGACTGTGTATAATGTTTACAGCGTACGCCCAAACTAAAAAAGAACTATTCCAATGTAAGTGTTGTCTGCTATCGGGCTATAATATACTTGGGGGACTTGATTATCTCGTCCAGCTACTAGTTTCAGACAGAGTTGTTACGTCCAGACTTTGGTACCTGAACATATAAATTAATGGTGTGCCGACTTTGATCAATTAAGATATTCCTTAACGGGAATTATGCGGTGACAAGCTGTGTAACACTCATTGGACAATCCTGAACTATTTATCATCTGAAAATAAGTTAAAGAGGTAGTTCTTGGAGAGCGTCCACAGGCTCTCAGGAAGCTGGAAAGATGTCATCCAATCACAGCCCTATTGGACATCCGGAGTTTTGTTGTGACTTAAGGTGATTGGATGATGGTGAAACATCGCTGTAAACGAACTGGATGATTTCATTCTATACAACAAACTATATATACATACGGTTTCCCATTACATTTTCATATTAACTGGAGTGAAGCTTTCTTCTGCTTCATTCCAGCTTCTGATTCGCAACCTGAGGGGCGATTTGACTAGTCTTAGTGCCGAAAGTTGAATTGCGTGGTGACAGTTCTAGTAGGAGGATTAACAGAATTGTGAGAACTACATGTAACAAATAAGGATAATACTGTTTTTCCTTAGTATATTTGAGGTCGATTGGATACCTTACCTACGTATATGCTTGTCACTACATCATGTACCGTTTTGTGCATATAATCTGTAGCGTCAAACATATGTTGTGAGCGAATCCAGATACCAGATTGACTATGCTCCCCACTAAATGTTCCACAACATCCCGCCATTATTGAAAGCAAAATAAATCCATGGTCTAAGGTCTTATTGAAGGAGACAGTAGGCATTACATGGGGAGCAGGGCATTTGGAAAAATGGCAGCAACGCGAAGAGAATGTTGCGCGCAAGAAGTCGTAGAAGTGTTTTTAGTACAGTTAAACAAAACGAGTACAAATAATGTTTATTTTTCACAAATCGTATTTTCTTCGTAGAAGCGTTCCACCACACACATAAGCATTTCCAGGTGAGAAAGAGACAAAAAAATTCGTAGCTAGCATAAATTATCCGCACATCATATGCGAGGAATGAAGACTCGTTTCGACAATTGTCCATTAAATTATGTGATATTTTGAGCCACATTGAGTTATCCAGCCGTAGGTTAACCACACAAAGCGAGTTCTTTCGAAACACATCTCCGAATATTTAGTAGCCTACCTTTTTAAAGGACTAAAGAAGTCAATCAAAAGTTAATTTTAGGAATACCTAAACGATTTTGTTCACTTCGCTTCAACAAAAGCCTGCTTTAAAATCTTACAGTCAGAAGAGTTGACCCAAATGGAATTCAAGTGACGAACCTGTATAAAGCCTTTTGCTCTCTATCAGTCCATAATTAACCTTTAGGTACAGAAATAGTATTCTCAGTAACTCATTCTTCCATGGTCTTAAACTTTCTTCCATTTCTTTCATAACCTAGGGGTTTTGCTTTGATTGGTTTTGTGTGTGTTTTGTTGTTTCTTTTATTTGACTCCTAAATTGTTAATTCCAATCCATCTCAAGTACATTGAAACTATTAATTTGCTATTATTGCAATTTATTCTATTCTTAATAGATGTTAAGTGAATAATCATCCTCACCTCAGCACCTTTCACTAGCCGATTATTATATAACTGCCTCTCAATATTTGATTTTCATAAACGATTCATGGCATGATACAGTTTCAAATTTATTTTATTATTATTATTATTATTATAACAATTTCACACCATTCTATTTTAGTACTGACTATTACTTTAACAAATAAAATTAATTGTATATACGACTGTTCAGCTTAAGTAAATAAAATTGTCAAAATGTTTTTCTCGTTTAATTGACGTTACTTTTATTCATTGCCGTAATGAGACTCTTACATTATTGTTGGCCCAGAAGTGTGCTTTATTGTGTAAGTCTAAGTAGTTAAAATCTCACCTTATATCTTTTTTAATAAATTCATACAATATATTATAAATCAAGACGAATAAATTCGAAACAAAATTATTCAATAATTTGAATAAATTAATTACAGAAATGTGGACAGTGCTTCATACACAGTTATTAACTACACTAGATGTATTGGAAAAGCATGTTATTTACTATATCGTTAAAATAAAATTATGTTTAGACAAAAAAATACCAAATCCATTTAGTTATTAATTTTTTAACATTGATCTGTTTATCAAGTTGAAAATATCCTTTCAGAAAATAGCAGACTACAGTGGGATGAAGTACAAAAGTACTTAAAGGCAGTAATAGAATGGGATTCATGAGAAGCTGAGGATAAAATCTTTAATTAAGGTTACTTTATATATCATAGCAACTGGAAAAACCATTGTCGTTTTTTAAATAGATGAGATAGTTTGATTCAATAAAGTGGATTACATAAAATTGAAATATTCGTATCTTTCATAAGCCAGTGTTTTTTCATTATTATCATGTATATTCAAATGACCAAGAGTTGACAAATCTCCATCCTTTTTTACTTGGATATACCAGTCGACAAACTCTACTCCCAACTTGTTTACAAGTATTTTGTCATCCATAAGACACTGTAGAGCCTGCTGAATTGTACTAGGAAGTATCTTACAGTCATTAGTTTGACCATTTTCTAGTTTTAAACCTGAAGGAGGAGGTTGTATTTGACGTTCCAAGCCATCTAGTCCAGCAGCTACTGTGGCAGCAAGCACATGGTAAGGACAGGATGCGGACGATGGTATACGATTTTCAATGTATGTTCGTTTCTCATTGAAGTTTTTTACACGTACTGATATATACCTGTCATGAAAATCCCAGCTCACACACGAAGGAGCAAGACGCTTATGCAGCCTTCTATAGCAGTTTACTGTTGGACAAGAAACAGCTAACATAGCTGGCAAATGTTCCAGGATTCCCCCGATCCAGTGACGAGCTACAGTAGACAACTTATCAGGAACTGAAATGGCGAAAAAGGCAGACATTAGTCTAAATTTCAATAATAATGGTGAGCATATATTTTTTTGAGAACAAACTATTGTCAAATGAAAGAAGTACATTTCCAAAAAAATAATCGTTATACAAGGCAATTATTTAGTGGTGTATATTTTAAGTAAACTGAGATATTTGCGAAATCAATCAATCGAAACTCACCTTTATCGTCATAAAACGCGTTTCGATTACTATCAGCATACCATAGAGAATGGTTGTAATGGCACCCACTAGAGCTGGAATCCAGTAATGGTGTAGTCATGAATGAAATCTCCATTCCGTGTTTGGCACCGATTTCTTTAACAGCCTGTTTCAGAATAAAATAATTATCTGCAGCAGTCAATCCCCAAGTTGGTATTAACGGGCATTCCAACTGTCCTTCTCCATCTTCATTGCTGTAATCTTGTACATAGATCCCCGCTAACTGCATATTGTAGTCAATGTCCGCAAAATAGTTTTCATACACAGACAACAAACTTGTTCTGTACATGTCTGAGAAATTTGTCCAAGGGATTGGCTTTTTAAGGTCGACAAGCTGCGTAATATCACCCGGCTTCGGTTTTAAACAAGACGTTTCATAACTTCCCTTTACAAAAGCTCGAAACTCTGGTTCAAAAGCTGAATATAAACGTAGATTATATTTATCCTCCAACTCTCTGATAAGCTTCTGAGCAACAAATCTTGGGTTGGCACACATTGGCTGGTTATTAGGCCAATACATATCACATAAAATGGAACAAAATGAATATTTACTGCCTTCTCGTTTTGCTCTTGAAAACATTTCGGTATCCTTTTGTGGGTGAGGATAATTCTTTTGTGAAATCCAGTGACATGGATGTAGCGTGGAAAAATCTGGTTTCAAAATACTGTTTATATGTTTCTTTTCAACTATTTCTGGGATACTGATAATCTAAATATGAAGACAGCTCAAAATTATTGTGACTCTGATGGATTTTCACAAAATGAAAACAGAACGAGATACACTTTTATCGAAATGAATGATTAGAAAATTTGCAGAAAACAAAGTAAATTGTTAAATCTGGATGAGAAAATATGAGCTTCTGGAGGTCTGCTACAAAATGAGAAGCACTTTACAACTGTGGATTAGTGGTTTCTGAAATACTGCTTAAACCCTAATTCCAATTTTTAAAAAAAATATCTCGATCAGTTAATGGAATAGAAAAGGCTATTAAATGTCTATTAATGGCTTGTTTAGTTCTTATGGAAATTGTAATTGACCTAAAAAGCTGATCGATAGCTTATCATACGGTAAAAGGTTAAAAATAATTTGTTTACCGTTCTGAAGTACCACTCAACCTTGTCATCAATAGTACTTGGATGAACTATATCTGTTGTATGAACTATATGCATAGTAAATTCCTATTCAGTAGTCAGTTGTGACCTATCAGTCACAACTCACCACATTTAATTCAAATAAAAATTTAAATGATGGAAACCGACAATTACAATGTTAGATATGATTAAAAGGATAGAACAAAACTACCGTTATGAAAGAGATAAAATTGCCTAGTTAAATATAATAATTCAAAATACTTTCTAGCTAATGAAACGAATATATTATTGTATTTTATTTTTCTGTTCCTTTATTCGAGTCGATTGCAGTCTTATTCTTTGTTCTCACAATACTTATTCATATAATTGTAGTGGAACGCTTCCACGAAGAAAATAAGATTTGTGAAAAGTAAACATTATTGTACTCGTTTTGTTTAACTGTACCAAAAATTCTTCTTCTTCTTCTTGAGCGCAACGTTCTCTTCGCGTTGCTGCCATTTTTCCAAATGCCCTGCTCCCCATGTAATGCCAACGTTCTCCTTCAATAAAATACTCAACCATGGATTTATTTTGATTGAAATGACGGCGGGATATTATGGAACATTTAGAGGTGAGCACAGTCAATCTGGTATCTTGACTGGCTCACTACATAGTCTTAATTACTTCTGAATTTAGCGAAAGTTTATATGAACAACAGAAACAAAACTGCGTCCTAAGTTGCCATCTTTCAGCAAAGTAATAGTCACAATCGTCCAGCGACTGGTTTTGAAAGTGATAACAAGTTCTAAATATAGCCATATATTATCTAGTTCATGGGTATTTCTATTGAATACAAAACTTAAAGCCATAGAGCTTAGGGATCTGAACTTTTTTGAGTTTTCAGGTCAATATTCTGTCCTAGACGTTTTAAACCATGAAAAATATTTAAGTGTCCAATGAAGTTTGTCCAACCATTAGCTTAAACTGTACTATACATGAGATGTATGTATTATCAAAAAACTCTGATCCATCTTTACTTACCTCAAATCTAGGTCCAAATGCAATGGTCCCTGAATAAATTTCTACCTCGTCCATTGCCAACTTTTTAGCAAAGCGTCTGGGTAACAACTTACTCAGATGAATTCCATTTATATCCGGAAGACTAAGTCTAATGAAGTCATATTTCTCGACATTTTTGATGAATGCTTTCGCTTCATCCGATACATCCACTTTATTTTCTGATTTCATAATAAATTTGTTAAATTCTGATCTTGTCTAATAATAAGGAAGGTAAAATGTACTCTTTGAATACAAATCTATTCATTGGTAAAATTTTGGTCAAAATTTATTCGTTAAGTAAAAAGCTATGACAAAATGGTTAAATTATGAATGTTAGATAAATTCAGATATGATTCTAGAAAAATAATGTAGATTGGAGTAGCTAGATCTGTATTATGAACTACATGCCGCAGATTCTTGAAATTATGTAATTTTGGGTAAATTTCATGACGTTTCTTCAGTTCAAGCTATAAACATAAACATTTTACACTATTTTTACAATGATTCAAACCCTGAACATAAATAAATCACTGATTACTCAGTAAACATTCTCACAATTCAAATAATGAAAAGACTAGAGATTCTTAACAGAAAATGTCCAACTTCTAAGTCATTTATGAGCTGTTCTATTAGTAATTTGTAAAATATCATAATTTATTATGACCAAGTAATTAGTAAGTAATAAAACGATCCGTACAACAGTGATTTCTTATCGATGACGAGTTCAGTACAACAAAAGAATATTTCAAATAATTATCTAAGCATGTAAAGAATCGAAACCAGATAGCTAAGAAAAACGTTTACTAGACGTTCATCTATGAGATTCCATCTCTTTGTCAACTGGTAAGACCTGTTTTTTGGAGCGAAAATCATAATCATCAGAAACACATTTATTACATTATGATGAAGAGAGGTCACTTTCAGTTCACATTACTACAAAATTAAAAGAACAATGCACCAGATGATCTATAAAAATGGAGTCGACAGATATTTGAAATAATAATCTCTTTATCTAAGTTGTCTAGGTTGTATAAAATGGACGTTTAAAATAATGGATATAACAGAATAGCCGTTATTGTGTCATCTTTCTTAATAGTCACATGGAAAAACGTACGGTTTACATAAGTGAGCAGCGATAATGTAAACGACGTCAAAGAAATAAACGCATGAATGTTGAAAGATATCTTGCTCAAACATTGTAATTTTTTTAACTTATGTTTGCAAGGCACCACACATGACAGTGACTAGAAAACATAGTAATCATGGGATGTGTGAAAACTCGCTTAAAAATCTAGGAAAACTCTGTTTTATTTAAAAAAGCATTATGTATATAAAGACCAGGTTTACATAAACTGAATGAAACCCAAGTAATTTGCCCTAAATGACTGATAAATAATTCACAACAAAATGTTCAGCCTACATTTTAAACAATATAGGACTAAGTTTGTTATCGTTTTGCACAAGGTTATTCCAAAAAAAAAAACATCCTAAAAGTTCATCGCAGTAAATGTAGGTTAGTTCATACAGCAGCAACATAATACAAATAATTTTGGGTCATTCAAAAGTTTATATGCAAGGTGTAAGTAGTTTGAAAAATTAAAAGTATTAGATCTGTTGTGATTGGAACACAGAGTATATTATCGAATTGATAATCAAGAAATAAGTAGTAATATGTCAGCTCCTTTAAATGTTTCACACTGCAGCAACGTAGCCACCCTATTAAGAATATTTCAACATCTTCACTTCATCTAGCTGGAAATCCTTTCAAAGGATAGTTAAACATAAAGTCGGGCTTAGGTTTAAATCTTCCATTCTCTATGTACATTATTGACAACAGCAGTAAATTCCACTAAAATGAAATCATAATATGAAGTTGTGCAGTTAATGTATTTGATGTATTTAACGAAATATATTCCACTATCTGAGTCATTCTTTAGTTACATCTAACAGAATAAATAGCTACTCTATAGTGGCAAGGTAATGTTGAGTGGGATGAATAAAGGTAAACACTTAAAGATGGCCTATAACCATTCAGTTAATCTAAAGTCATAAGTTAACTATTACTTATTTCTTTATCACAGAACAGATAACAACAACGTTCCAACAAACAAATAATTATATCTATGAGAAAGGAAATGGTTTGATTGACGAATTATAAACCGATATTTTTAAATTAATAGGCGAAATGTAAAAATTACTATAGAATCAGTAGAATATTTCTTTTTAACAATAATGGCTATCCCTAGGCTATTTTTCAAGATATTTAAACACAATGTGTTCATTTATCAAAAATTTAGGCTCTATAACGATTATGGGTTAATGGATTTACGACTACTAATATTTTCTCAGACGATAAATGGGACTTATATCAATCAAAATTTTTGATAAATTGTAGCGGTTTCGAAAACAAAACCTTACAGCTTATGAGCAATGAAAATCAAGTATGTTCATTACATGAGTGGTTTTACTTGAAATAATACAGGAAAATATTTCAATACCATTTGAAAAACTAAGTAAAAATATTGTATTATATAGAATAGATAGAATGTGGCTAGCAGTGGAATCCAGAAACGCACGTTTCGTCCAAGTCTGATCGAATTTCCGTCAAAATATCAACAACGGAGTAATTCAAATCATTTCAAATTGAATCATAATACTGTAGTCCAATTGTTCTAGATAATTACTGTATAAATAAAATTCAAGCTTCACCTCACATTTAAACAATCATCATAAAGTAATCAAATACATGAACAACTTATATTCTGCTCTTCACAAACATTTTAATTCAAACTTTTCACAAATATTTATGTTTAACAATTGTTCGGCTTCTAATTTTCAGTAGTTTTCGAAAATAAAACACCTGTCTTTTACACAGTTCTTTCGAGTCATGTTTAAAAATTTAACATCAGTTTTCTGAAAAAGGAATTCTCTCTTTGAATAAAATTCGCTTACTAATGAAAAGCGAGAAATAGCTGGAAATGAAACACAATTTGCTGAATAAATGTATCTAAACAAAAGTCTAATGATGATATCCGCAGCAGTCACTCATAATTAGAATTAGAATTACAAGTCCTCTTTAATAAGAAGCCATATGGAGTTATATGGATACTTGTGAGACAAGTACCACTTAAAAGAACTGCTATCACTTGCAGCCATGAGAAAAATATACAAAAAGTAGTTAATTTTGACAAAAGATTATGAAAACTTCTATTCGGAATGATCATAACAAAAAAATGAATATTCTGTGAGAGTGTATTTGTTCTGCTAGCGATATTGACGAAAGATTTGCAGTAAATGTAGAGGATACACTTAAATTATTTTACCCGCCATTTACTATTCAGTTTACTGAAGCATATAAAACACGGTAAGAATTGACGACTACTTTGCTCAAAATCTATCAAAACGTTTGTCTGTTTAAATTTAAGTAAATTTTATCTTAAAAACAAATTTAGTTCAATTGAACGATAGTTTTCAAAATCATACAAACTTTTAAAAAAGAATCTGAGGCACAATTTATTCGGCAACACAATGAACAAACGTTAGTTTCTTGAACTACGTGAATAGAAAACTAACCTCTTTCATACTTTAGTTCACCCAACACATACAACCAACTGAAGAACAGATCGGAACTTATGCTCATAAAACTGGTTAATTACTCAGAAAGTATAATAATTTTAAATAGTTAAATGAGAAGAGTTTTGACACAAAACAAGTTAAATATACATGATAGTCTAATATTTATTGTTATGATCTACCATTACTCTTTGTTGCACATACTTATTATATGCAAAACGATGTACTAATCATACAGTATGAAACCGAAAAATAAAAATTATTACATAAAACACAGTGATTAGATTTCAGGTTTCAATCAAAAACGAATTCATAAACTATAAAAATTATATGCATAGCTGTGCATACCATGCTGAACTTCAAGCTCTCAAAACTACTAAACTTATTGATGTGAAATACGAAAACCTGAACAGACGGATATTTATGTTAGATTCGACATAGTTCATTGGAAAAAGTACAGCTCAACCAGATACAAAATCTATTAGTAACCGTGATGGCTTCTTTGTTACATACTGCATATAAATCAAAGATTTTATGTTCAACAGAATATATGTATTATGTATTTCTAAAGTTATGAAAATAAATGTACACTATGTTGTGAATAGCAATCTTCATTAAACTTGAAATAGATTTTTATGTACAACTATCATTTAAACGTTCATCTTTAACTTCTATTCCTTGAGTTAAATAGTCAAGTAATAAATTATATGGAAAGCATAGCGCTGGTTAACTTGGCGTATTTTGTTTAGTTACAAATGAGAAAAGTGTGATTCATTTGTTTTCGTAAACGGCATACTCCACACTTGTTTATTTTAAAACAAAGTATCGATCAGAGAATACAGAGAAAATTTTATAAGCAAACTCCTGTAAAATTCCCTCAATGATGAACACTAATATCCACATCTACCAACACGTGTTCTATGGTAAAAAAACCAATTTCGACTTTTCTCTGAAAATCTATATCTTACTCATCAGTTCAGTGGATTCACATCAACTAAGAGACTTTATTCTAGCCAGTGTAGTTACACATTATTACTGATCAAGTATGCTGAAATTTATTGCTCAAATACATGACAACAATATCTATGCACGTATTATGAAGATGAAACAATTAAATTTAAAAATCGTCTCATTCACACTCACCCACTCCATCATTGGTTAACGTAAATTGAGACTGAATTATTTTTAATATGATGTGCTGTGATATTGTCAAAGAGCGTATCAGTTAGTTAATAGACTGAGGTAATAAGTTGGGCAAATTTTTAGTATGATAGTTTATTCGAGCGGACATATATATATATATATATATATATATATATATATATATATATATATATATATATATATATATATATTGAAAAAATAACCAATCACAGTTTAATATTCTTGTTATGCATTGATAATATGATTGTTTAGATTTCATTTTGTTGGCAAAACAATCAAGCGGATTTATATTCTCTATAATATGTTGTACTTTTCTGTTGAATTAAGGAATATTTTTAAGCTGAGAAGAGATACCCTCAATATTTTCTGGAAAAATGATCGCATTTCATAAATGATGTTTTGGTCAACTTGGGAACAATTTATTTATTTGACTCAGTGAGTCAGCTTTAAAAAGTGGGGTATTTAAGGAACTTTTTTATTTTAATCGATTATGTCGTGACGTATCTGAATTTCGGAAATATTTCATGAAAAATAAGCAATTGGGAAGAAGTGGAAAGGAAGGCTTAAAACAAAGTTGGTTGAGGAGTCCATTAGGGCGTAATAGGTATAAGTAAGTGACTAATCAGCTACGACAAGCAGTGATAACTTCAACACGTATTGATTTTAAGCGGAAAAATGTATAGAGTGATAGGATTTTACATCTGTAGGCTGGTTTGTTGGTTCTAGATAATGTGAAAATTTTACACTTGTAACTTACATTTTGCCATATCTGATATTAATTAGCAGCAAGAAAAACACTTGGACCTAGTAGATGGCATTCTTTCAGCCCTTCCCATGTACTCGTATATTCATAATCATAAATACATTCGGAGGTGACCTCAGAAGAATAATAATCCACTTTAACCAGAAAAATAAATCAAAACATTTTAACTCTGCCCTGGCAGTTGGAGGAAAAATCATGACATCTTGTGATGAGAGTCGAGTTTCCTCGGAAGTCAAGAGGCCGATGCCTCTTCTCAGTACCAGAGCAACCATTCTTTTAGGTACATGGAACGTTCGGACATTGTGGGAAACTGGAAGACCATTTCAAGTTGCTGCAGAAACGAAAAGATACAACCTCGAGGTGTTCGGTATCAGCGGAACGCATTGGACACAGGTAGGACAGCTGAGACTAGCTTCAGGGGAACTGCTGTTATACTCTGATCATGAACAGGGAAACGCTTCACATACACAAGGAGTTGCACTGATGCTGTCCAAACAAGCACAAAAGGCACTGATAAGATAGGAATCTCATGGACCCAGGATCATCAAAGCATCCTTCAAAACAAAGAAAGAGGACATTACAATCAACGTCATCCAATGTTATGCACCTACCAATGACTACAATGACGACGTTAAAGATCAATTCTACGAAAGGCTGCAGTCAATCGTCGATAGATGCTCAACAAAGGATTTGACCTGAATGCCAAGGTTGGCATGGACAACACTGGATATGAAAACATCATGGGACGAGATGGACTTGGAGAAAGGAACGAAAATGGTGAGAGATTTGAAAACACATGTGCCTTCAACAAACTGGTCACCGGCGGCACAATATTCCCTCACAAGCGCATACACAAAGTTACATGGATTTCACCGGATCAAACTACTCAGAACCAAATCGACCATATCTGTATCAATAAAAAGTTCAGAAGGACTATGAAGGATGTGAGAACCAAGAGAGGAGCTGACATAGCCTCAGATCACCACTTGCTGGTCGCCAAAATGAAACTGAAACTAAAGAAGCACTGGAAAACGGGGAGGACGGCATCACAGAAGTTTAATACGGCCTTTCTGCGGTATACCACAAAACTCAACGAATTCAAGATAGCCCTCAACAATAGGTTCCAGGCCTTTCAGGATCTACTCAATGGAGAGGACGCAATATTGGAGAACTATTGAAAAGCGATTCATATTCTTAAATACATTCGGGGTCGACATCAGAATAATAATAATAATAATTTAGGAAACATCTTGTGTTATGGATCGAAAATGGCTTAGCTTCAGTTAAGCTTCTGTTTAGAGTTGCTTAGTTCTTTAATCGATGTTACCTGAAATCTCCACACATTTGAATGCACGATAACTTAAAGAAAATTTTTTTCTGTTAAGAGTTGCTTCTTTGGAACTGTTCGTGATCATTTAATAATCCTTCATCACAAATTTCTTTTGTCATCCATTTTTGTAAGGCACTTTTCAATGAATGGCATTTCTTTTTGCCTTTTGCCGACTGAACTCCACCTTCTAGGCCTATTCAAAAGGATAATATTCCAAGAAACTTGAATTTTTGATTATCCTTCAGTGATCAAAAGTACTATGTGAGTTTTCCGATTATTCAGTATTATGCTCCATTTGTCCTTCATAATAACTCTGAGATAATAAAATCAATACATCTCAATGTACTTTATGAGATGTTTTCAAAAGGCCGTCAATTTCCTAGGTATACTGTTATTTATTTATTTGTTTTCCACATGCTTAATCCTATATTAAGTTTCTAATTATCCTCACAGTGACCCATGTGTTCTCGCAGGATTTTGAACTGATTATTTAAGGACAAGTTAACGTGATATACTCTCCTTGAAACACTGTATTTTTTATGAAATTTAGAAAAAAAACAACTTATTAAAAGAGTACCATGTTGATTTTTGTTTTCTGTTTTTTATAATCAAACACAACGGTTTTCTGTAACTGTTTAAGAGGTATGCTTAACTAGGTGTATATCTGGGATATTTGTAAATAGTGATGATTACTTGACACAGTATTTCATGCTAAATTCAAAATTCGAAATACGATACTTCCAAGAATCAGTAATCAAGTTCACCAGTTAATCCAATTACTTTATTAGGTTCGTTGATAGTAAACAGAAATTAGATGATTGAGCCCTATTTTCATGACCACAGTCTCACTTAAGATTAATAAATAAAAAGGTCAATTGAGTTTGACTTTATTTATGTTGTATTTCCATATAAAAAAAATCTGACGAAACGAAAATCTTAACCTTCAGACTGAAAAAGTGCACTAAGTAAAGTGGGAATATTTCAACTATCCAAGTAATTTTATTATAAGCAAATATTTACATTCATATCATGAACAGTCAACAAGTTGTGAACAGATTGCCGCATATAGTATGAGTCTGCTTAGTACTCCCACTTGAATGACCACAGATTTCGCATTAATGTGATGGTTAAAATTATCCACTGTAATAACTCAAACTATCTATCATAACTGAAACATTCGTTTATTTAGTTCCTACAATGTTAGTGTGGTGTTTGAATTAACTAGTGACTTCTTGTTGTTGTTGAATGCTTGATTTCGAATTCTAAATACAGCACATTCTTTCGTGCTTATCTAGTAGTTCTTGATTCACATACTTCTAATCATCATAGTTAGGCAGGTCAGTTGAAGGATAGTAAGACTAAAACGACAATTTAAAGTTCAAAGAAGTCTACTGAATGTAGGTGGACGTGATGTAAGTGAATTGTTTCGCTCAGCATTTAAAGCAATCCCACATTTTCACAGGATCGGCCCTAAATTAAGACATCTCAATGACTTCTGTTTATTAGGTATTTTAAAGCATGGCGCTTATATGTCAAAAATGTCTTACAACATGTCACTGCATGACCCGCCTAGAGTGATTTCCCACTGTAATCGATGGTCATTCTATAAGGTTAATAAGAAAAGCACTTAAACAATGGGGGCAATCAGGAAATAATTACTATCCTCTTAAGTTTAGTAGCGTCCAAGATCTCTTGTTCGAACGTCGAAACTTTTTTCACCCTAGTACTCGATCTATTCCCACTATCTTCACTTCTCCTATGACTTTATTTTTATCTTCAAAAAGCTCATATAACATGAAAGTGCAGACATTTACTTGACCCCATCTAGTCACTATGATGTCGTCTGACTTTTTTCATTATCTACAAAAGTATCAATCTACGAAACAATAAACATGATAAATAAACATTACGAATTATTTCCTTCGCCTAAAAATGAGTTGATAAAATTACTACTACTATCAGTCAGTTAGTTACAACGTAGAATTTCGTACCTAAGTACATCAGTTCAGGTTGTCGTATCACATTAGCGCATAGAGATCGAATTGTCAATTCAGACCCAATAGTAGTAGAGGTAGTAGAAGTATTAACCTTTTGTAACGCTCACTAAATAATTTCCAGCAAATTCCTAATGCTTAGTATTCTCTGACAACAACACACTCGACAATTCACAAAATCAGAACACCGTGGAACAGGAAAAGATTATATTCCAAATAGCAAGGTTAAATGGAAATAAGAAGCCAAAGGCGAAGGCTACATAGATACAAAGTTAGTATCTATATAAAATAACATCAGAAGCCTCTGCAATGTAATCCGTGTGATTGACTAGCGCTGACCGGATTAGATTCAACCAGTCAGCATGCAGCTAATGACACGAGAATTTTCTAGCCTGCTCTTTAAGTGTAGGCCAGGCGCTGATTGGATAGGAGATCAGCCAATCAGCGCGCATCTAATTCACTCATGCTGTAATCCATTTATGTCCTACTAACGCCTCCCCTTTGAGCAGATTCGTAGGATCTGGTGTTAGAGTCCGACTGCTTCCTGGGTGCCTTGCCACCCGTACTCTTACAAGCCGCCTGCTTTGTAGGAGCCATATCTGTGAACAGCCGTCGACTGGACTGCTTCCGCATCGATGAGTTTTGTTGAGGCTCAAGAGCAGCATATGGTGCAGGGCGTCTCGGACGTAAAAGAGGTTTGGCATCTGATTTCACTGGTAAGTGAGCTTCCATCTTGGTACAGCGGCCAAGGTTATTCTGCAAAACAGAGCCTGTCTTCCTCTTCATTTTATCTTTAAACCTTTCACCTTTGGCTTCCTATTTCCATTTAACCTTGCTATTTGGAATATAATCTTTTCCTGTTCCACCGTGTTCTAATTTTGAGACTTGTCAAGTGTATTGTTGTCAGAGAATACTTAGCAATAGGAATTAGCTGGGAATTATTAAGAGAGCGTTATAACTTAGCCGTAATCGAAGAGATTTGGGTTAGAAG